TTGATGCCCTGACTTTTGCAATAGTTCTCAAATGGACCTCTGTACTCACCACCATTGTCTGATCTGACACACTTGAGCTTTCTACCACTTTCTCTTTCAACTCTGGCATGAAACTCCTTAAAAGCTTCAAGTACCTGATCTTTATGTTTCAAAACAAAAGCCCACACTTTTCTAGAAAAATCATCAATAAAAGTCACAAGATATTGTGCACCACGGTGTGATCTAGCATCCATAGAGCAAACATCAGTATGAACAAGATCTAAAGCATGCTTTCTTCTATGTGGGGGACGAGTATGAAATGCAACTCTGTGTTGTTTTCCAGCTAAACAATCAACACAAGAGTTTAAAGGCATACCTGAAATGTCGGGGAGATAATCTTTCCTCGAAAGGATATGCATGCCCTTTTGACTCATGTGGCCAAGCCTCTTATGCCACAAATCACCGGAGGCATCATCTGCTACATTGGCATCTCCGCTACATACTCTGGCCTGCATAACATAAAGTGAATTCTGCTTCTTACCTCGAGCCATAATCAAACTGCCCCTAGAGAGTTTCCATCTTCCATCACAAAATTTGTTGGCATAACCTTCATCATCAAGCAGACCAGCTGAAATCAAACTCAATCTGATATCTGGGACGTGCCTCACATCCCTGAGCACCAACCTACAACCAGTGGAAGTCTCTAAACAAACATCACCCATACCGATGATCTTAGACGAACCATCATTTCCCATCCTCACATGGCCAAAGTCACCACTAGTATAGGATGAGAAGTACTCCCTGTGTGAAGTAATATGATAAGATGCACCAGAATCAATCACCCAAGTGCAGTCATCACAGGCTACATTTAATAGTCCATGATCACCGATAACAAACAAATCATCATCACTAGATGCCAAGGCTGTAGTGTTCTTCTCTTCTGGCTTCTGCTCGGAATTCTCATTTTTATCTTTTCTCTCCTTATCTCTCTTCTTCTTTCTGCAGAATCTCTCAATGTGACCCGGCTTCTGACAATAATGGCAAATGAAATCTCTCTTTCTAGATTTGGATCCCCCCTGGACTTGTCTCTATGGTGAGAATTTCTGCTCTTACTTCTCCCCCTGCTGGATTCTGGAATCACATTTGCTTCAGATTGGCTAGGGTAACCTGATTCTTTTCTCCTAGCCTCTTCATTCAAAAGACTAGCCTTGACCATCTCCATAGTCATCTTGCCATCCGGAGCAGAGTTGCTAAGTGAAACCACCAATGTATCCCAACTGTCGGGCAATGAGGAAAGCAACAACAAAGCTTGAAGTTCATCCTCCAATTTCATCTTCATCCCGGCTAGTTGGTTTACCACACCTTGAAACTCGTTCATGTGAACCACAATGCTATCACCATCTTTGTATTGCAATTTAACAAGCTTCCTAATCAAAGAAGCTTTTCCCATAGCATTGTTCCTCTCGTACATGGATTCAAGTTTCTTCCACATCTCAAAAGCATTGGTTTCATTAGGAACATGTTGCAACACACTTAAAGAAACATATTGTCTGATTGATGCAATAGCTTTCCGGTTCAAGGTAGTCCAAGCTTTCTCATCAACACCTGTTGGACGTTCTTTATACAAAATTGGGTCAAGCAAATCTTTAGAGCATAAATAATCCTCAATACGAATTTTCCAAATTGAATAATTCGTAGAGTCCAAACTAACCATTCCTTGAACAATTACTTTGTCATCCATCATAAACAAC